AATAACTATCAAAATTAAAAACGAACAATATGGCATCTTTGCTTATTTGAAAAGTCGCTCGCGTTACCAACTGCAGGGAAATCGGTTGTATGGAAAAGAAGGGCTAACAGTGTATGCTAGTTGTTAGGAACAATTAAATAATCACAAATGCTAAAAAATATTTTGAAGCCAAGTCAATGGAAAAAAATTCGTTAGCAATTTCAGTCGAAACAGCTGAGCCTGAATTTCGCATTACTTTCTTGGCGTGAAAGGGGGCTTGTAATAAAGTGCATATCAGCGATATGTAAGTAATGATTTTCACAATATCGAAATCAAAATATCAGAATTTTCTTATATATTGCATGATAATCTAAACTTCATCGTAAATCGATAAATTTTTTCACATAACTGTAATTTAAAGTTTTTTTTTTTTTGGATTTATCGATATATATGTAGCTATGTATATCGATTTATTTTCTGAAATGTCGATACTTTATGATCGAGGAATTCACATTAGCCATTTTATAACGCCAATATTTTATGATGAATCGATACATTTTCCCCGTAGTCGATATATTTTTTTCGAAAAATTGATAAGTTTTTATGGAAAACATTGATTACGGCTTCACAAGATCCATTTAAATAAAAAAAGTTCAGTAGAGCTTAAATATGCATTTTTCAAATGTGCATATATTTTGAAAATCAATAATTTTTATTCGAATTTTTTTGTGTATAATTTACATGTATTTTTATATTTGATAAAAGAAAGTGGTCTTTACCATAATTTAAATAAAGCACAAAAAAGCTAAAATATGCATTGTTCGATGTATCGATTTATTATTCGTTCTTTATCAAGCGAAGAATTCAATTTCGACGTCTATATAGCGTTAAAATACTCTGATATATCGATACATTTTGCGATAAATCGATATATATTTTAGCTTTGGATCGCAAAATTTGCTTTAATTCTTAGTGTTTTTTAGCTTGATAAGAAAACTAATTTAAATAAAAAGTAAACTTAAGTTAAAAGATGCATCGATATTTGTACATATAAATACATATGTGTAAATTTACATATTTCCTAAAACGATCTTTGCCCTCCACACAGCGCCTATGTATGTTGATCGTCTGACATTAAAAAAAAAATCCGAAAAATCGATAATCTTTTATGGAAAAATTAGTTTTTATGTTAATAACTACTGGATTCGATCAAAGAAAACTTGAAATAAAAGTTCCGATATATCGATATTTATTTTGCTTTAAAACTGTAATATTTTTGCGCTTGATAAAAAAACTTGTTCGAAAAATCGAAATTTTTTTAATATTTTTAGATTCGCTAAAATCAAACTTGAAATATCATTTCCGATATACCGATATTTTTTAAGTAGATAACTTTTTATCGTAAAATTAATTTTATCGTTTACCTTGTTAGACTATATAAAAATAAATTATTTACCATAGGTTAAAAAGAATCAAAGCTAAACGAGGGAAAACGTAATATCAGCTGCTCTGATTGGCTAAAGTTCCCTTTTCCTGATCAGCTGATTTTAAGTGCACTAAATTCTTAACAGTTCGTACGTGACAGATCATAAACTATTGCAAAATATCAGCTGTTTCAATTTTTCAAACCTATCTAGACATTTAGTTCATTTGTAGCCCGGCAGAAGTGGTTAAACTATCAATTAATCGATATTTTATAGACGGCCTTTGCCAATGTTAGGTATATATGCCGAAAATATCTAAGTTTTCAATAAATATCTCTGCTTCTACTTAGATGGCTTCACTTGTTTATCTGCTGATCTCAACGATGTTTGAAAGAACTAGCAGTGGAAAATGGCTGGCTATTTTTTGCTGGTGAATTTTTTGCCGATTATCAGCCGTTTCTACTACCACGAACAGGGTGACATAAATTTTAAACTCACAGTTTTCTCTGCATTTTGGCATTCGCTGTTTTTGCTAGTTTTTATTATTCTTTATTATTTAATAAAATCTCATATTGTTTATATACATATAAGTATGTATGTATGTACTATAGGTAGGAATACTATATATTTAAGTAAATAGGTGGAGTGGTGGAAACTCAAGTTACTTGGTATAGTTTTTAGGTATGTTTGTATATATAGTAGGCAAGTCTATGGTACACTTTAAGATTACTGACTTCTGACGTTTCCTAACATTTCAATTAGTAAGGAATACTGACTATTTGGTTATATGATTAATATGAACTTTAGATTTTAGGTTTTGGGCTCGAGTACTGCGTTTTGGTTTTTGAAAAATGCTTTGGTAATAAATTCATTATTATCTCCAGATGTTTAGCTATTTTTATGGTATTTTTTTTTTTAAATTGGTTTTCAGTGTTTTTGTATAGAATTTTCCTTGTTATTTTTTTAAATTTTCCTTGATTTTGTTGTAACAGTTTTATTTCTTGTTATTATGAACTATTGCCTTTTTGTAATATATTTTTTTTTTCAACTTTACATTTCAGTTTTATTTTTTGTGTTTTAACTTCGCTAGCGAACTCTAAGAAAAAACTGTTATGCATGCTTATATTATGGTTATGCATTATTTAGTTACTTACATATTTAATAGCCTGTTTTAGGTTAAGTTGACTTAGACTTGTAATCGGTGTTAAATTTTGCACTCTTTTGTTTCTCAAGAGTTTCCCATTGCCGTTTGCCGATTTTACTTGTTTTCGCTTACAAATAATGCTTATGAAAAGTGTTCAAACATTTCTATTAGTAAGTGTATATTCATTCATTGGATAAATATAGAATTTCACTTTAGTTTACTATAAATATTTTTGCTTCAATATTCGCTTTGCATGATTTTACACACAACTACATACTACGTTTTCTTTTTCACTTTTCATAAGTAATTGAATAAAAAGTAAGTACTTAATAATTGGATTGCATTTTGACCTTTTATTAAAGTGTAGCTGAACTCCAGTTGATGTTATAGTGTCAGTTGCGTTTCCGTTTCCATTTCCGTTTTCTCTTTCATTTCTCTGACATACAGCTGTCAAGCATTCGCATATTAAGCGTTTCGCTTCTTCCTCCTTTCCACTCCTTGAATTCGGCAAGTATTATAAAAGCGGTCCTTGCTCTTCTAGTGGTGGATCCTAGGCATAGAATTCTGACTTGCCTTGTATTTTATAGGCCTCCTCCTCCATTTTGTACATGTCGAGCAGCTATGCATTGAAAAAGTAAGAGAGATAGGGAAATAGAGTTCATAATTAGAACAATTTTATACATAGCCATTAATCACAGCTGACACACTTGTCAAAGTGACAGTAAAATACAAAATTGACATACACTTGTGACATTAACTTGCATTTATTAATAATTCTACAACAATTATCGTTTGATTTTTACAAAATTAAGAAATAATTTAGTTTAAATGGAAATTAACTAATTATTTGGTAATTACAATAAATAAACAAGTACACAGAAATAAGTAAAAATTAACAGTTTCACTGCGTACTCACTAAAAAGTACAAACATTTTTAATGAAAACCAAACTTACAAAACTAAAAGGCAACTTACATACTTTTAAAAGCAAACTCAAACAATAATTTACATAAATTAATTAAAAGTATGTATGCGAGATAGCGTGTACGATGAAAGTTTACAATCGCGACAGTCATCGAAATTTATATGCAGCGATTACTCGTTTAAAAAAGTAGGAAAATGAAAATTACAATTGCAGTCGCATTATTTTTGTAAATATGATAACTTTAATACTTCAAACATAGCTTTGTACTGAACTTAAAAAAAAAACATAAACGACTTAAATTAACAAAAAAAAAAAAATTTAAAAATTTCATTCCCATTGCGGTAAAATATATATTTGTATGAGGAAATTGCTTAAAATTATAATGAAAATTGTATATCGACGGCTGAGTGGAAGATCCACCTATCTCGGCCGCCAGCTCGTTAACGCTCTATCTAAGAAAACTTTTTAAGAATACCCTATTGAAGAATTTGGTTAAAGAACGTTCTGAATAGGTTCAAAAGGCCCTATCTCAGCTGCCGATTCAAAAACGCCCTATCCCAACATATTTTAAATATGTTTCCAGTTGAGATAGGCTGTTTTTAAATCAAATTCTAAGATAGGACGTTTATCAATTAAATTCTGAAATATGGCATCTTCAACCAAATTCTGAAGTAGAGCGTTCTTGAAAAGAGAAAAGAGATTGGTCGATCTTCCACTCAGCCCTCCATTTGCGATTTAAAAAAAAAATTAAAGTTCATTTAAACTGCGTTTTATGTTAAAAATACTTATATTTATATGCCAAAGCCCAGTGTTTAAACGAAAAAAACTGTAATGCCAAATTTGGGTAATAAAAAACACTAAATGTCATTATAGTATATTTTCACATGCATTTTTAAATGCTAAAACTTTTTTGTCATTTCACTGACTAGTGGAAATGCGGCATAAAACATCTAGGCTAAGTTAAATTCGAACTTATTTTGAAATCAAGGTAAGCTTTTTAAGCAATTACCATTTTATTTTGATTTAGAACTTATTTAAGCTTTTTATTGGGGTTAAGTACAAAATATGTACTTCCAAGATTCATAGCAGTTACGAACCATTACTTAGTTGAACTGCATTTGGTGCTAAAACTACCTATTCGGATTTATTTATTAATTATTAGAACTTAAAAGTAATGCAAAAATTTTTTATTACTTAAACATTACAAATTAAAATTTAGTACTAAATTTCCAACATAAAAATATTAATTTTACTGTAATTAAGTTAATTAAGTTTTATACGTAGATATTTTGTGCTAAATGTTCAGTGCTACATTTTAGTACTAACCAATTGAATGCTTAATTAAATGCAGGAATGCACGCACTATTTAATACATTTTTTTTTGTGAAAATTTAGTACTATTATTTTTTTTTAATACATACAATTTAGCTCCGAGCTTTTGGCTCCAAAATACTATAAATTTTTAGGTAAAAATGCTAATTAATTATTTTAAGCACATGGTAAGTGCTATGTTGCCAGCTCTACATTTTAGTACTAACCAATTGGAGCTTAATAAAATGTAAAAAGTTTTACTCTTTAAATCTTAAAATTCATTTAAAAAACAAAATCGTAAGGATTATATACTGAAAAATGTTGCATACAAAATTAAGTGCCAAAACTTTTGCATCAAAATCGAATTTTTATAAGAGCAAAGATTTAAAATTAAGTTTCGAGTACTAAAAATTAAAATTTTTTAATTTTTTGATTCGTTACCAAAGTTTCTACATACATATCTACATACAAAACTTTAGTGCTAAACTTTAGAGTATAAATTTTATTGGCTAATGAAGCGAGACACAAAATTAAATAGATAAACTTGTTAGACTTAAATAAATTCAGTTTACTCCAAAAGTAATTTTTAAAAACTGTTTGGTTTTGTACTAACTTTTTTAGTTTAATACTAAATATTAAACTATTTTGAAGCGTAAATTCTTGCCTTGGTACTGTTTCTCAAAAGCATGTTATAAAAATTTATTCTTAGAAAAATTTTGCTTAGATTGGGTTTATTAAAATTTTTAAAAATAAATTTTGTGTGAGTAACTTAGTAACTCAGAACATTTTGATATTCCAATCTTGGTAAATAACTTAGTACTGTAATGCTAGAAAAGAATCTTCAGTACTAAATTTGATTAAGCTATATTATTATTTTTTTCAAAATATTAAAATCGATTTTTTATCGAAAAATTGCTTGATTTGTTAGGTGATTTTAGTACTTTTTCCGAATCAATTAAATTTAAAATTTTTTATTACTATTTCAAATTTAAAATTAAGCAGGACCAAATATTTTTAAATTATTTTTGAATCAAAATTTAGGTCTTTTAAGTGTACATTCTAGTACACAGCTTTAGTTTTTAATGCAAAATACTGTCAACTTTAATTTTATTATTATTTAGTGTTAAAGAAAAGTTTTCACTAATACGAAAATCGATAAACATAAATATGCCAACTAACTACAAAATACAATTAATTTAAATTTTAATATTATTTTGCGTTAAATAAAAATTTTCATTAATACGAAAATCGATAAACAAATATTGTTAACTATAATTGTTAGCATAAAAAAATAACCTTATAATAATACCACTAATACTAAATCATGCTGAACAAAGTCATGCTTGGCATTTCATTATTATAGGAACTTTTAGCACCAAAGTCAGCTGATTTCAATTATATGTACAAACATATCGATGGTCCTCTGCAATAACGACACAAGTCAAAATTCGAAAAATAAAAACTCTTTCTACTGTTAAATGGCTCATGTCTCGAATCCTTGTCTAATCCATGTCGAATCGTTACGACTTACTGTAGTAATCCTTACTAAATACTAACTTTAGTAAGAATAAGACATGGATTATAGAGATGAGACACTTAATTAAATTTTTTGAATTTTGAATTGTGTCGTTATTGCACAGGACCATCGATATATTTAGTACACAAATTTATAAATATTTTTATTGCTGCTCCTTGAACTCCAAAACTGTATTGAGTTCCATTATCGTTCAAATTTTTTCTTTCTTTGCTTGGATTCAATAAAAATGTACATATCTATGTATTACTTATAAAACGAGCATATAAAACACATTTTCTGATTTGACTATAATTACTTTTGTAATGAAATAATCATTCAACAAGCACAACTACTCGTATTTATCATATAGGTGACTATGGCTTCAATACTACACATTTTGTTTCATTTGTTTTCTTAAATAGCTGTACTAAAGTACAGTTTCAATACTGGTTATAGTGTCGGTTTGCCGGAGTGTTTCGTTTAGTACCTTTTGCACATCAGTACTAAATTCCTCCACCTGTTTGGTGTGTGCCAGTTTTAGTTTTTCCATAGCACGTCCCTGTTTTACACCGATTTGCTGGAAGAATAAAGAAAAGTAATAAGTTTAAAAATTGGCGCATGAAAAATATGAAAAAAATTCAGATAGCGCGTGTCGCAAAATTTAGAAGTGGAATAAATTTAAAATTAAACTTCACCAAACGAAATAGAGTGCGAAACGCGTGCTAGGCAGAGAGTTGAAGAACTAGAAAATATGATTTTTAAGCTACCTTTACATAAGATAAATCGAATATCTTAGTAATGAACGGCGCCCTCATACACTTACCTTCTTCTCCTCCATGAAACGCTTAATATTGTTCTGTCGCTTCTCACGCAGTCGGCGATCCTTTTCATTCTTCGTCTTAAGCGTTTTATCATTTTGTACCTCTTTGGCGGTGTCAGCAGAGGTTTTAGCTTGTTTAGCATTCAAGTCTTTAATATCACTGTAGGAAAATAAGATAGTAAATCTTTCTCTTATTCAGCTCTGCTTCTTATTTGCGTACTTTTCAAGTAAATACGGCCACTGTGCTTACTTACCGTGCATGTCGCTCCTCCAGCTGCTTAACCTGTTGCGCCTGCACTGTCAGCATCAATGCCTTCATTGCTTCTTGAGAGTCCTGTACATGCTGACGCAGCATGTCCCATTCCTCTTTCTTGTGTTTGGCAATCATCTCCGTCCATTGCTGAGTCTGTTCAGTAATTGCATTCTTGATCGTCGTATCATTGCGTATTTCATCTTTGCTGTAGTGTAAAAGAAAAAAAATAAACAAAAATTATTGCTTTACAAGCACGTTCATTGTACAACCATTCTAAATTGATTTCCAACCTTTTGCCCTTGATTAGCCGATCGATAGCTGCATTCTGATTCTTCTGCATGGTCATGCGCTCTTTGGTATGCTTCTTTTTCAGCGTATCCAATTCCTTGTTTTGCTTCTTGCCCACCTTTTGGAAGCCCTTTTCACCGCGCAGCGATTCTAACGTCACTGGCTCGAATACCAATGGTGGTTCTTTCTTTTCCTCTTCCTTAGCCTTGCCGGCATCACGTGCCGCACCGCCGCTCTGTTCTTCAATGCCCAACGCTTTCATTTGTTCGTTTTGTTTCGCTGCAGCGCCCGCAAATCCTTTCGGATCCGACAACATGGCCATGAAGTCCTCAAAGCCATCAGGTACATAAATCTTCAATTCGATGTTGACGAAAAGCATAGGCAACGACATTGGGAAATTCGCTTCGGTACGTAGCGAAACGTGCCGATAGCCCGCCTGCAGACCGTCCAATGGCAATATGCGTTGTCCGATCATTTTTCCACTCTCTTCATAGACGCCGAAGCGCAACACAGCCAAATCGGGCAGCACCACTTTACGAAAGACGAACGGATCCTCATTGTATACTGGATTCAAACCGTTATTAGGCACCAAACGTGTACGGAATTCCTTCTTCACTGTGTCCGAGGGTAGACCGAACATATCCACCTCGACGTAGGTGCCGACCTTTTTGTCCGACAAGAACTGGCCGGCAATAATTTTCACCGAGCACTGCGCAGCAATCACACCGTCTACAGGCGCATCGGCAAATGGATCGAAATCCTTATCTGAGCGACGCATGAAATCCGGCTTGAGCAGGTAGCCACAGCCACCATTATATTCGAATTTACCCTGATTCAATTGCATGGGTAGATCGGAGGTTTGAAAATTGAGCGAGACCATCTGGCAGCCAGCGTTCCAGAACACCTGCGGCATATAGTTGGAAGAGTCGGCGCGTGTGCCCTTCGGGTAGATGCGCGACATTTGACGTTTGTTGTAATTGACAAAGTCGATAGAGCTCTGTTTTAGATAATTCATGCCGGCCGCCTCAGCGAACGACGACATGTTGTGAGCGATATTCTTCTCTGTTGAAATGAAATGGATGAAAAAAATTTCATAGGATAATTAAATTCCAGCAACTTTTCGCTTACCAATAGCCTTATCGAAGCCTTGGAATTTTATTGGCTGCGCATAGTTGACCATTGATGACAGCCAGGGGTGTACATTCGTCGTTGAGCCGCTGTAATTGACTGCTGCCGCTTCCCCCTCGGGTGGCGCACCATCAGCGCCTGGTTCGCCCGGCGGCGGTGCAGCAGCAGCCTCTGGTGGTGGTGCGCCCTCAGGGGGCTTGGCGCTCGCATCTTCCTCCGGATCGTCATCCGTCTTCAATTCACCCTTTAACCAAAGCTCCAATTCGACTTTTTCGACTTCCGGCTTCATACGCTTGTTCTTGATCATAATTTTGCGTTTTAGCTTTGAAGGCGGTGGGAGTGGCAAACCGGGCTCGAGCTGCGGAAAGGTGGCATTATTTTAAAAATAATGGACGTAACCCATATCTGGCATAACTTACCGGATGTTCGGGCAACGGTTCCTTTAGTAATAATTCACCAAAGAAGTCATCACAGTATTTAGCTAATTTATATTGCTGCGCACGATTGCAGTGGTTCTCGAAGGATAGTATGACAGGATACTCGGAAGAGACAAATGCACAATCGGCGATGGCTTGAATGCAATCCTGGAAATTGGAAAATTGCGCAATATTAGAAAATATATATGTGGTGTCGATTTGACGTCAAGCATTGAGAGAAGTGAATGTGGCGTGTAAATAGGATACTAGATGTGCTAGATACTTACTTTGAACAAAATTTCAGTACAGTACGCGTGGCCGTGAGTAACGATGGGCTCTTCATCTTCACCCTTGCCATTCCAGCAGTCCAATTCGACGCATCTGTGCAGGAAGATGGGCGGAAGAAATAAAAATTAATCGGACATGTCCTATTTCCTTTGACTTCTTTCCCTCGTGCAACTTACCTACAACCAGCCAATAGTGTCTGTCGATACATCTCCACTGAACTTTTACCACCAATCTGACGACCCGACAGATAAGTATTATGTGAGCTGTTGATATAGTAGTGAGCCAGTGGATGATCCATTTCCATATACATTTCCAAACGATCCAAAAATACCGGCGCATTCTCATCGGACATGAGATACCGCTTAAAGCCATCCATAGACATTTGACCTGTGCGTGCGAAATAAGTTTACAATTTTCTAAGTAACATTCATTAAAAATGCGCCATAATGACAATACACGTACCAGCCTTCTTCTTCTCCTCATCCAATTCGTAATCGTTGATAATCTCCGTGCAACGTTTTTCATCATAGAGTGGATATAAAATTTCATTCATACGTGGATCACGTTGCTTTTCATTCATGAACTGCACGAACTGTGCCATCGAAATTACTTCCGACTTACCCTTGGTACTGTGTGTGTGAACGGCGAGGAGGTGGCGAGAAAAATTAGAAACACAAACAAAATGTAGAGAACCCAATATTGTTTACGCATATAAGTAAGACGCAAAGTGTAAATAAATAAACATTGGTAGCGACAATGTCTGCTAGCAGTGTGTTGGATTGCAACGACAACAAAGATGATGGCTATGTGCAACAGCCATTCTGCACATAAAATCGTACCTTCATTCACCACACGACTAGCCATGTTTGTTTGAAGCGGTATGCACGTGGGAAGTGCCGTGAATTTATGTATGGGTCAACGTGACGTCATACTCATTTTACGATTGTTTAACTTACATGGAAGTGAACAGCTCCTCGATGTCATTGCGTGGGCACACTTTGTGGTACAGCGCATAGAATTTGTCGAATGTGAATTCTTCTTTGGTCATGGTTGCGCTTTTATCGTCCGGTAGTCCGACATCCTTAAAACATTGATACACAAGTTTTTCTGTTTTGCCAGAAGCAAAAGTTTTCGCCACCACTTTTATAGGTATCTTGCCACCCTTCTCCACGGAGAAACATAAGCGCATCCAACTGTGTAGGGATGAATGAAAGGAGGTAAAATAAATATTTGCATGAGGTATTAAAATTTTTTGTGTAGGCGGATATAAGTAAAAGCAAGGAAGAATAGTGCATGTGTGTGAGAGTAAATATCAGAATAAATAGAAGGGAAAGCCATTAACGATTTGAAATTGAAATAAATGGTGAAATTTGTAGACATGTGAGTAATAAGTACTTACCAGCCAGTCCGCCATGTGTTTACTTACTTACTGTGATCATCACAGGGAAGGAAAACGAGTCCTGGAAAAGCTTCGGCGGTAATATATTCTACAGTATTTGAAAAATCTATACAGAACAGTACTTGAATCGGAATTAACGCGGCAACCTCACTAGACCTATAACGTTCGTTTTGCATGAGGCAATGTAAGGCTGAAATTCTGTTGGTTGGTTCCAATTTTGGTACATACTTAGGTGTGCTTTGCTGTAAATCTAGTCTGAAGAGGCTAAGGAACACTTTTCCAGGCCGTTTGATTTCTTGATAAGGGGATTTCGGTTAGCGAGCTTGCTCTGACGTCCCTAGACTACTTTCTGTGGGGTTGCTTATAGCCTTATAGTGTATCACGACCGATAAGCAACACGAACGATTCGTCTGTAGACGACAACATCTCCGATTGCGATTTTATTACTCTATCGGTTGCCTTCGTCTTGCTTTTCATATACATATTACGTTGCAATGGTCTCGGTTGTGGTTAAACCGGCTAGAATGATGCCGTCGGACTAATTTTTGAAGCATTCCTCTGCATCGTTCGTGATACAGAACAAGGCTGTTAAAAGAGCTACGTAAACAAGCCGCAGAACCTCCAAAATTTACATGTATTTTGTTTTTGCTTTGGCGGCATAAACTGTCAAAATCTGTAAGAGTGTGTGTAGAAATTCAACAAAATTTTTCAATTTGATATCAGAAGCCGTGCAGCGAAACACATACACAAAATCAGCTGAGCTAGTAACACCACCTTATATAAATTCGCCTTGCTCTACACCCTCAAAAAAAATTATTCGCCAATAAATAATGACATACATGCAAATATATGCCGTTAAAAAATATATATTTTTTTATTATTTTTGGAATGAAAGCAGAATAAAATCGAATGCTACGTTTTGCTCTACCTTGCACTGATAAACCAATTGTAAAAGTATAAAAAGAACCAAATCCCTTAGCGAATTTCGTCGAACGAATATGAAAAATAAGAAATATAAAAATTCAAAAGCGAACAGATGAATCCCCAAACTTTGACATTCTACATCTTTTTGATAATTATCTGCTGGACAGCTGATTTTGTGACCGACGGCAGCGCCAAAATTAAAAATAACAGGGCTATTCTGGCTAAGATGCTTAGTTGCAGGTTTTTGTAAGACAATTAAAGGACAGTAGTCAAGATAGTTTGAAAGATTTTGCTTATTCTGGCACGAAAGTCTCACACAAAAACTCCCTTGCCAACTTTCATAGCAAAAAGCTCTTTTGACAGAAATTACTTGAGCATTTTCCAAATGGAGATGTATGTATATCCGGCTGAGCAAAGCACCGGCGTGCTATTCGAGAGATCCAACGTTCGAATCCTCTGGCAGCGGAATTGTTGTTTTAAAATAAAAATTAATTTTTTTAATTGCATTAAATTTTCAGAAAGTTTTTTTTTTTTTTATTTTACTTATCTTTTTTTAATTCTCTTGTAATTTTTTTTTAATTGTAAAAAAATATATATCTTTTTAATTTCATCTAATTTTTTAAAAACTAATTTTAATTCATCATAAATTTTGTTTAATTAATTTTTAGATTTTACAGTTTTAACAAGAAAGTGTGGCCGCTGTGGTGTAGTGCTAAGCAGTGCGCGCTTCCACTAAGCGCAAAAATATATCGAAAAAGGGGTTTTTCTTAACAGCGGTCGCTCCTCGGCAGGCAATGGCAAACCTCCGAGTGGACTTCTGCCGTAAAAAAAATCTTCTCATAAAAATACTATCGCCGTTCGTAGTCGGCGTAAAACTGTAGGCTCCTCCCCTTTGTGTGACAACATCTAACATCTAAAATATATGTATGTAACTGCCAACATATTATTATTATTAACAAGAAATGTATATTTTTAGTTTTATTAAAGTTTAAGAAACTTATTTATATTTTCTTTTCATTTTATTAAACATAATTTTTTATTGTTAATTTTTTTTTGTTTAATTTGATTTAATTTTTAGAAAATTATTTTTTTATTTATATATTGTTCAAATTATATTTTCATTTCATCTTTGGTTTTAATTGTTTAAAAAAAAATATATATTTTTAATTTAATTTAGTTTTTAAAAAACGTATTTTATTTATTTATTTTTATTTATTTTTTCTTTCTTAGTTTTTATTGTTTTAAAAAGAAAAATGTTTGTATTTTTTAATTTAATTTTTAGAAAATTTGTTGCTAAAATACAAGCAGAATAACGCTAAGACCTCCTCGTTAGCAGACCTTTCAATAAGCCTTTCAAAAGATAGGAAAGAGCTTTCAAGATAGTTGCCAGTATTGAAAATTTTTCTACGAAACCCTTTTTCCTTTCGATAGCCTGGGTGCATTCCAAAACGTTAAAATACAAAGCATCAGTCTCGTTTATTTCTAAACTTCAGTAGACTGTTAGATAAAAAGATAAAAGTTAAATAGAAAGCGCTGCTCTCAAATAATAATTTCAAAACTTTTCTTTGTCTGAAGAAAAAAAATTTTATTTGAGATGCGAACTGCAAGTTTCTCAGTATAACAACAATTCCTGTCGGCACTATTTAAATCAATATAGACATTTGAAGAAAGTTTAGCTTTAATTATCAGATAGGTATGTTAAAAAAAAAGGAAAAACAACTTAACAAAGCACTTCATAACATTTTATACCTTTGCAACTTTTCCATTGAACCTAAACAAAACCCTCTCTTCCTTCTATCATGCTTCCTATGCAAGCAAGTAATTGCAAATAATTAGTTTATAATTTATTGACTGCTCAAACAAATTGCTGACAACACACACATACATACATGCATACATTCAAACAAAAACACTATCAAACGAATGTGGCTTGCATTGGTCAATTTCCTGTAGCATAACAAAATGCAAACGGACATGGCGAGGCAAAGTGTTTGAATAGAGAGACTGCCAATGGACACATCTGAGCTGTGTGTGTGTGTGTTAGTTTCTTGTTAATGTGTGGGCGAATGTCCACTATTTCCTGTTTGCTAGTTAACTTTTTCCATATGAATAAGCAAATACACATAGGTTCATACGTTTTAGCTAACATATGTATGTATGTATACTTGTGGTCAGCTGATTAAGTTAAGTGACATTTTGACCAGTTTTCGTAATTTTTATTCTGTTTATTTAGTGTTTATAGTTTTTTGTTTTTATAAAAGTCTGGCACATTACATAACCAGCACCACATAAATCTACATTTCAAACTTCGTACAAAAATTATGAAAATTTAACAAACTTTAACAATTACACCCAAAATTTTTAAACTTTTATTAAAAGTTTTTAGAAAAATTTTAGGTATGCAGTTTTATAGCTCATTGAATTTTAGCAGGTTAAAGTGCAAATTTCAAGACGCTAGAAAATCACGTTGATTTTCAAGAATTTTTTTTTTGCTGGTGGTGCTAGGCATTTACTCCCATAAAAACGAAAGTGTTGAGCATACCTTATATGGAAGAATATGCACAACATCGATAGCCAAAAAAAATGATAAAAAATCAACGCGATTTTCTAGCGTCTTGAAATTTGCACTTTAACCTACTAAAATTTAATTTTTTAAAAACTTTTAATAAAAGTTTAAAAGTTTTGTGTGTAATAGTTAAAGTTTATTGAATTTTCATAATTTCAATTTTATTTAAAATTTAATGGGCTGTTAAACTGCATACCCATAATTTTTCTTAAAAATTGTAAAAAAAAAGATTAAAATTTAATGGGCTGTAAAACTGCATACCCAAAATTTTTCTTAAAAATTCAATTTTTTGGTGTATCCTAATTGTTAAAGTTTGTTGAATTTTTATAATTTTTATATGAAGACTATTATAAAAAGTTATAAATATTAAATAGTCGAAAAAAGAAAAATGGCAAAAATTGGTCACTTAACTTAATCAGCTGACCAACAGGGTATATGGACAGCATTTATTACTTATTCCACGGATGAAATGCTGGGACAAATAACAAACGGAAATTAGGTTAAATGAGTGTTCTTTGAATTACATAGTTACAGAAGTGGGAGAAAACAATAAAAATGGAAGCTAGATTTTCAAAAAAGGTAGAAGTTTTGAAAAGAATGTGTTACTGTTCAACTTTTTTTTTGTATATGTTCAGCTGTCCAGCTAATCAGGGATCTTTTGCTCGTTGTGGACAATTATTTTTCTTCTTGATTGGCGCTGTAACAGGCTAAGCGATTTTGGCCGAGCCCATCAAAGCACGGCAATCGTTTTTTCTGCTGTGCCAATTGGAAATGCCAGGTGAGCTGACAGGCTAAACTGCTCTTCGAGAACAGAAATTATTCTTAGATTGACAATTCAGTTTGCGACGCAAGTTTGCAATATCGTCTCAGCTCACGGCGAAATGGTACCGATCGAAAAGGCCTCTACGCGAACCGCACTGCATAAATCCAACCTAATGGAACTCCTTAACGGCTACTGTTTTGGTAGGAAAACATGCGGTGGATTTCGATGTATGCGGTTTGAAGGCTTTATAGCAACTTCGACTGCATCCCTGATAAAATGTATGTGCCATTTTGTATCTAGATGAATACCCAGCGGTTCTTTCTCAACTCACATTACTCACCTTGGGGATGAGTGAATAGGAGGCTGCAGTTGAAAGAAAGGACCAGTGAACTTTTTTCGAATAGCAGCTTAGCGGAAGGGTCAGTAAAACTATCGGAAAGTTTCCATAAACCTCAAATTTAAGATTCCACACCACTGTAGGCTCTTCTGGACGTAGGCAGCTAAGGTTTAGCGGCTATAAGGTCTTTGTGTTCCCTCACGG